TTGATAAACAACAAGGATGAAATGACTTTGTGAGCGCTGTAACCAGCTGTAAGCGCCAAACGGAACGCAGCCTTAAAAAGATCGGTTTCTGAAATGGTCTATATAAAAAAACAACACATAGGTCTTAACAGAGTGACACAGAGTTACTTTCCGATCATTACATCCCCCTCCTCAACCTCATTTCCTCTTCCTAGCCTATCTATACATGATAGCTCTGTTCTCTCATTCCCTGTCATATTTCGCCTGTTCTTCTTTCTTCGTACACCTTGTCACTTTCATAAAGTCATTTCTGTTGTACATACTCAGTTCTCGTTACCGTCCTCTACCACTTTAGGTTTGTTAAAATTATCGTTTCTTAATTCTTTTTATAATCTAGACTACATCTTTTGTTAACAAATCTAATTCCGTTTCTATCCCTTTACATTTTTTACAACATTCTTGTTTAATTTCACAGCCTTGATTATTTGTATCCTGAGACTCAAATATTCGTTTCTGTTAAAATTCGAAAGACATGGACTATCGACTGCGACCTTTGCGGATGCGTATGTACTACCGACTATATTTAAGTATTATATTAAGCGTCAAAGAATAAAATCTCGAATTCATTTTTTAACTTATAAAAATTTTTATTGCGTCAACAATTGTTATAAATAGTTCTACTGAGGATGACCGCCATTTAGGGGTCCAAACGTTTTAGGTTTTGTTTTCTATGTATTAAATATGTGTGAATATTATAATAATTTTGGACACGAACATCGAGTCAGCTGATGGCTCACTAGCCCTCTTTCTATTATTATTATTATTTTGGAAAAGAATAGTAATTTCCATTCATTTTTACAAGTTTTTTAAAGTGATCCCATTTTGTTATTTCATCAAAATTTTCTTTATTTAAAAAATGGCACACAACTTTTATTTGCCATTTCTCACTTATGACGTCACAATTCCAATATGGCCGCGGTGACTAGGCAGGAGCCTTAAAAATTAAATCTTAAAATATTAAACAACATATATTTTTAAAAATATCCCATAATTAGAAATACATTTCTAACCATTTCGATTACACAAGGATTATAGATTCAACTCTTTTTTAGACATTTAAATATATTAAAAAATTATTTTAAATTCAAAATATAAATGTATACAAAAACAATTTAGTTTAAAAAATAAAATTTAATATTTTGATCATCTTTAAATAAATCTTTCTCTTAAACAGCATATATGGAAAGGAGTTCCGTTTTTATTCTAATGTGAAATAGGATAAAAGAAATTCGATAAGATTTATCAATGTATATATAATATATTTTTTGCAAATACAGCATATATAAAAAAAATCTTTGTGCTTTCGCGCACGTAATAGATATATAGAAACGTACAAAAACTTTTGTGTTTTGCCTTACAAAAATCGTGTATCAAAATGATTCCACTTATCTCTAAGCGAGCGAAGAGAATCAAACGCTTTTGCTTTATAAAATTCTAAATCTTGATTGGTGATTAGTTGTTTTCAACGTACGCTGAATTTTAAACGTGTTTAGAATATTATAAAATTAAATTCATACTTTGTAAGAATCTAAATACGAAATTATATTCAAAATAGATTGAATCAATTGCAGACTTTTATGTCATTCTATAATGATACTCTTCATTTATTTTTGACTTATGGAGTTATTCCAAAATAGTCTACGGCTGCGTTCCATTTGGCGCTTACAGCTGCTTACAGCGCTCACAAAATCATTTCATCCTTGTTGTTTATCAAATATTGAACAAAGACAAATGATGCTTATAAGCGCTGTAAGCGCCAAAAGGAACGCAGCCTACAATATGATACAACAGTAAAATATAAAAAAATATACTATATAAAAAATTATTTTGATCAAAATACAACGTACATTAAAAATTACTAATCACTCATGCCATACATATTTCTTCATGCTTTTCATTATCCTTTTTCTCTGAGAAATATGGCCTCAAGTTTATCATAATTATTATTACTAAAGTGATTATTATATTATTAATATTATTAGTTTCATTACTCGAGGTCTTATGCAATCCGTTTGAAATTTGATACCTTTGCACATTCTTGTTTAAATAAGACTATTTGTAAAAATATTGCCGATTGTTGAAAACGCACATAAGTACATTACTCGAATATCGCGGAGATGTACATACATATTACAAATCATTTATCTTAACCGTAAATAACATCACTTTTAACGTTACTTTATCTGTGGATTTTGTCGGCTCATATTTAGCTTTGTTAAAGTGATGTAAACAAAAATATGCAAAAATGTGAGATTTAACAGATTTTTCATTCTGTTCTTGACTTTTAACCCATTTCATAGTGCTACACACTATAAAAATGCTTAAATCTGTTTTTATTATTACTGCAATTAAAATTAATATTTCTCAAAAATACGATCATAATATCACTAGTATTAAAAATTGATTGCATTCTAACACGTGCATAAATATCCCAATCGACACTAGTTTTATCAAAAATTTCGAAATGCGCTCAGAAAATGCACTTGATAAAAATTTTGTCATTAAAAATAAGACATTGTGTTACTTCTTTTCGTGTTGAATTAAAATTTATTCTAAACCAATATCATAAGAAAAAATAATAATTTGTATGCACATACAATGCTTATTTTTATGTTATCCCTTTTTATATAATATAAGAAGAACGTTATAGCGCAATATATGTTACACAACACAACTATAAAAATATAATATATATTTCTCTTAAAAATTGTGTGTGTGTGTGTGTGTGTGTGTGTGTGTGTATGTATGTGTGTGTGCGCGCGCGTGTCGCGTACACACATACTAAATCGAATTCAATACAAAAGATTAATTGTTAGATGTATCATAATTGTCAAATCAAATTTTACTTTTTTGTCATGATTACTTTGCCTTTGTTAACCTAAAAAATTGTTAAAATGTTAATATATAATATAATTCAAGGAACTATATCAAATTACAAATAATCAATTTAAAGCCATTGTATACATTTTATCGGTTATTAGTTGTTTTACATTTTGTTTCTTCATTGTTTGTTGCTACATGCTGTAATCAGAAAATATGATAAACAAGACGCACTTTTTGAGAAATTATCTTATTGTTGCAAACTGTGAATAACTTATTTAAAGCTCATTATTTACATCCTCAATCATATTCTATAATTCATTTTGTCACAACTTAAAGATACAAGGTCCGTAAGCTCATTGCACATTTAAGGCTAATTTGACTGTCTATCTGATTCCATTTCAAATTTATATCAAATATTATTATGTTAATATTAAATGTGTAAAATTCAGATTCAGATAGCTGTATTTAGCGTTAAACATGCACGAAGAATATAAATCACACATAGATAATACATATTTTAGATTGCAAAAGTAATCTTATTGAGAACATAGAATGCATGAAATGTTTGATGCTTATTTGCATCATATATTTTAAATTATAAAGCATATTTTTTTCGTTTATTTTAAATAGTAAGATATAGTATTTTGTTTTAATTTACCACTTTTTATTTTACCACACTCAAATTATAAAAACTAAAATATAATAAGTAATTTCTTCTCATAACTTTACTAAATTTAATTAAATCTATACGCGCACACACACACACATACACGCACGTACGCGCGCGCGCGCACCACACACACACACACACGCGCGCGCGCGCGCCACACACGTGTATGTGTATGTGTGTGTATAAAAGTTGATTTAATTAAATTTAGTAAAATTAATATGCATTATTTCTGCATAAATACTTATTATTATGTAAACTCTTAGACTAACAAAATTCAAACTAATCAAATATAGAAATTTTGAATATAGTATATAGCTTTTTCCTTCTTGAGGGAAAATCTAGGGATCACTATTGAGAAATAACGCGACATTTATTTTTTAAAATCAAATACATGTCAATAATTTCAAACTTATTGAATATTTATATACAAATTATCTATCTGTTTTTATATAATAGTTATACTGAATGAAATAGAGAACAAATACAGAAGAAAATATTAATTTTTTTTACTCATAATCACGTATATTCGCTGTATCTATGCATAATTGTTTTATAAATAAAAGATACGTAGCAAAAAAGTGAATAAAAAGTGTATGTGTTTGAATGCTGTAATACCAGAAAATAGAAGTCAAGACAACATAAATCGTTGCAGATAAAAATTATGAAGTTCAAAATATGATAAGTTTGACAGAACAGAGCTTGATATTACAAACATTATTTTAGAGTTTTTAGTATTTAATTGGTACTGTTTTATTATGAATATTATATCTATAATTTTTATATTTCTAGATTTATTAACGAAACTCAATATAATTATTTATCATATTGTAGATTCCTGTCTAAAAATTAGAATGTCGTTTACATATTTGCGATATATATCTGGGTAATAACTGAAAAAAATTACCTCTCATGGATAGGTTAGCGCGCGTGCGATTTTTTCAATAATTAACCAGAAATTAATTACTAAAAATTTGCGAATGTACATGTATCCACGCTTCAACCGCGATTCAATAGTCCAGTTATATATCATGCTCGCTCCTTCCAACGTCTCATCGAACGCATAGCAACCATGAGTGCATAATGTTATTACTACTGGATCATGGAATTGCATGGATACCTATTCATGAAAGGTGATTATCAGACATTCTATATAGCTAAAGTTACAAGATGTGTAATTTGATTAATATATGATGACACAAGTAACGTTAGCTGTATATGCATTGTTCATAAAATTTATCCATGAAAATTAACATAATTTAATATTAATGACATGAAGAAATAATCTTTGGAATTAAATGTTGCTTCTTATTGTGGAATTATAAAATAACAATATCTACCGTAAATTAGTAATCTAAATTTCTTTTTTAATTTGACTTATTGTTATGCATTTATTACTTTTTATCTGCTTGATCAGTTTTGTAAATTTGTTATTGAGCATTTTTTAGTATAAAATATTATAAAATGATTATTTTTTCGTTATGCAACATTTACAACTGCATATTATTTCTGAGAAATACAGTAATGTCTCTTTTTGAAACAAATAAGACACACAAAGTAAATTTATATTTTATAGTTTAAAATATAATTAATTTCAAATGTCTATGGGAGGCATTATTCAGATCTGTAAAAATATGTACGTTACCCAAATAGTTAAACTTCTTTGTATTTATTTGGTTTCTCTTAGCTTTGTAAATGTTTACGTAATGGGAAATATAAAATATTGATTGCATTTTTCTTCGTCATTTAAGATTTTAGATCCTTATTGAGCGAATTATCACATTAGTGTTACAGAATAATAGAATATAATCGAGAAATTACCTTATTTATCAAGTTTAACAAAAAGCTTGTTAACTTGTTAAAGATGTATACTTATTTTATCTGATTATTTTTTAACTAGATAACATAAAGCATGTTTCGTTATTTTGCAACAGTAAACACTAAAATAATAAATAAATGTCTGTTTATTCTATGTTTATATATATCAATTTATCTAAACATACAATCTTATAAACATTCATCAAAAAAGTTCATTCATCAAAACTTTTTAGTTACCGTTTAGGAAATATACAAAAATTATATTTGATTCTAACTTGGTGTAGTATTTCATTCCCCCTTCATTTAAATTCTTAAAATTTGTACTAAACATTTGCCCATTGCATATTTGGTAAAAAAATTTAAAACCAATGACTTTCTTTTTCTAAATATTCTATCAATTATATCAGTTCTGAATCATTCTTTTATTAATATTAAGAGTTGATTGAAAAGTTTTAAAATTGTACAGTTCTCATTTCAAATTAAGAAATTCTCTTATTTTATTGAAAACACAAGCTTGATTAATCTACTATTTCTATTGGACATAACGCATTATAGATAAGGTTTAATATTTCTCATATAACTTCTTATTTGATCTCTGCTAACTAATTGTAAGTCTTGCTAATACGGCTATCTAATTTTAAGATATATCTGCATAATAACACGTAACAACACAATGACATTGTTGTTAAAAAATTATGAAAGATCAGATTCAAACTTTTATTCGTAAGTAAAACTCTTCTCTCTTTCTCTCTTTTTCTTATTGAGCAAGACAAAATGATAATAAAGGATAGACGTTTAACTTGTCAGCCATCTCGCATAGAATATTATGCAAAACATATCAATATATGTGCCTTACATGTAACTATATCAACGCTGCTTGGCAATTATAGATATGGAGCTAGATAAAGAGCTTTTCTACTGAAGAGATCTAATGTAGATAAATGAATTGAAATAAAAGAATCTAATTTACGAAACTATAATCATATTTCGTATTTGCAAATTAACACATTTTCAACAAGTATCAGTCACAGATAACAGTTAACAGCAGTGTTCAAATAAGAAAAAAGTAATAGATTAATAACAATTAACCTATTACAATTATATGAAAAATATTTGCATATTTCTGAAAAAGTATTCATAATTAAAGAAAAACAAAAATTTCATTTTATATGTGTCTGTGCGTATATATTGTGCTCAACTTTTTCATTTTGTCAATATATATTTAAAAATAAAAATATATATATTTTTTTAATTTTGGAGCTTTGTAATACTGAGGAAGTATCTTTAGGAAAAATATTTTCATCGTTATGAAATCATCAAGGTTTGAAATGAAAGATATTGCAAAAAACTTTTCAATCAATCCTTATACATCCTCTATGAGGACTATTATTTCGTATGATATGATAATCAATTGAAATCAAACTAAACCGCGGCAGTGTCGTCCGTGTTTCGCAGTAGCGCAATCGCTTTATAGACGTCACCACCACATTGATTCAGCATCACTTTACAATCTTCGAGGCCGACAAAATTATTTTCTTTTTTCAGTAATATTTGAAGCTGCTCCAGTTTGATTGCCGCTAGAATCTCCCATTCGGTGACATTTAATGCAGCGATGCAGGATTCTGGAGTTGACTCGTGCAACACCTTCAGCATGATTCGTACTTCATCAGATTGTTCCCCGTTACGGGGTCCGCGTGTTCTTCGCGTGTTCGGTCCGTCGCAAGCAAACTCTAACAGATCTTCGCAAGAAACATGGTCCGATTGTCGCGACAGATCGCTCACAATATCGCAATTCGATGTTTTTTCGTTGGATAAGCGGTAGGCTTTTGGAAGAGCAGTCGAATGAAAATTGTCATTTGAGCCAATATGTACCAGTGGTTCTTCGCACTGGAAAGCTTCGGATTTGGAAGGGATTTCTTCTACGTTCGTTTGTGAAGAATAATTTAGTGGAGCCTGTTGTATTTTTGCAGGCGAAATTTGAGCTCTGCTCGAAGAATTGATCCAATCTTCTGGTCTGCAAGAACTAATCGATATTGGATTTCGACTTAGATCTGTTTCCGTGTTTTCTTGTACTTTAGTTCCGAAACTTTTCAAAGAACACTTCGATTCGGCGCTGATTTTCCTACACAAATTATTGGTCACGGTCGACAAGTTGCTCGATTGTCCATCGTTGCTTTGTTGCGAAACATTCTGACATAAATCCGGCATGTCGTCGCAGTCGATTAAGTTATCCGAGAATTCCAGCAAATCCTCTGAGATCATGCTACATCGTCGAAGTCGACTTTCCTCGATAGGTAAAGAATCCAGTGCAGCTAGCTCGGAATCTATACGTTGTTCAAATTCTTCTGGACTGAAAATTTTAAATGTCCATTTTATTGTATATATAATAAATAAGATAAATAAATAAATTAAATGCAATATTCACAATATTAACGATATTCACATTTTTCCAGCATTATCAAATTTAATATATATATATTTTTTTAACTGTATTTTTTAACGAAATACACTTGGAAAAGTCAATTTTTTTTAAAGAATATTTTACATTCTATCTAAAACTTATAAAAAAAACACATGCGTCTTATTTTGATCTATGTTACAACATATCCAGAGTTTAAAATCGAAAGGAAACACTTGTTTATGTTACATATATATATGTATAATTTATATATGAAAATTGAGAGTTATATAATATTTTTTAACTCGCCGGGATAAATACTGATAAAAGCAGATCCAGTTCATCTGGCTCTGAACATCTTGATCTTGACATACATTGTCAAAAGCACTTTCTTGAGTAATCTTCAAGTCAAAAGATTTTAATCCATCGGTCGTTATTCATTAAAAAGTTATTAACAATTAAGTATTGACAACAAGCAAAGAAAGAGATAAATGGATGGACAGTGAACCTGGCTTCACGTAAAAGGTTATAGATTGGACACAGCTATTAACAATTATAGATTTTATATAGTATTAACAATTATAGACTTCAATATAGGTCATAGGAGATATTCAAAAATCATGTAAGTTTGTAATTTTGCAAAATAGATACATGAGTGAGCGAAAGAAAAGCTCCGTTGACTCCACTCTTCTCCTTATATCTCCACTCCAAAAAAATGTAACATAATTTTAGTTTCAAATCAGAAAGAGGTTTGAGTTATAAGTTATACTTTTTCAGGATAGAGGAAGTGCAGGGAAAGGAGCTTCACCGTTCATTCTAATGTTACAAATATAGTAAAATGTAAGATAAAAATTTAATTAAACCGTATATGTATATTTGTAAGGACATAGTCAAAGAAAAAGACGTAAATACGATCGTTTACAAATACATCAAGAAAAATTAGAAAAATTAAATTATTAATATAATTACAAAATAAGGATACAAAAATAAGGAAAGAATTATATTAGAATAATAAAATATAGAGTAGAATATTAAATATAAATAAAAGTATAAATGTAATGATCGCAAAGGAAAAAAAGTTTAATTTAAAAATGTTAAAAATACCAAGTTTGATCGCACTTGTAATCTTCAAATAGTTTATATTGCAGATTCATCAAATTTTCCTTGTTCGAAATATTAGATTATATATTTACGACATTTAACACTTCTCAAATAAAAATAAAAACTTATTGTAATTTTTGGACTACTTATTAATTAAGAAGCTTACCTATTAGCAGAAGCTTCCGGAAGATAGTTGTCCTGTAGTGAGGTTCCGGCAATTGCTGTATTAGAATTCTGCAATATGAAATGTCCGTCCACTTGATCTTCCACGGATGGCGTGGTTACTGCCTGCATCTTGGCTAACGTTCTAGTGACACCGCCTCCAGGTATGATCAAAGGATGCTTCCTCTGATGTCGTGGTAAGGTGGACTTGGGTTGAAGCGTCTTAGAACGATCTCTAGGCGGCAGAGGTATTGGATTCTCGTCGATGTTATTCTGATTTTGATTGTTCTCTATTTCCATGGAATGGTGTCTTTCGAGAATGCGTGATTGTGGCAGAGATACAATTGTATGGGACGATGGAGGTGCTCGAACTTTGGGCAGAGTTCTTGCGCCGCTGTGGTGCATCTCGAAATGGAAACCATGCTCACCGGATGTGTCTTCTGACTGCGATGACGCTGGATAGCCCAGAGTGGCATGCTTGTTCCCGCGAATTCTGGGCCTTACTATAGGTAATCCGGAACGTAACATGCGCAACGGATTTGTATCTCCGGTACTTTCCAATGTTGGCGTCTCCACCAAACTGTTGTACACTTCCTTAGCTTCATCCGACAGGGTGGCCTGAACATGTTGCGGGAAAGGGATAGATACGAGGATAAAAGAAACAGAAAATTAAACAGAAATAAGAAAACAGAAATTATAGATACAAGGAATGCTAAACTTTCGCTCATTCTTTTTTTCATACATTTAGATTCTCTCTCTCTCTCTCTCTCTCTCTCCTCTCTCTCTCTCTCTCGTATGCGTATATATGGACGCATGTCATTTTTTACATTGTGTACCAGTGTAATAATTATTTTGAGTAACTAAATCTAGCAATATCTGACATTCGTTGCAGTGTCTCGTGCGATGAAAAATCTGACATTTTTTTTTTATATTAATGAACATGATTTATTTCAGAATTCTCAAATTTTTTCATTGCTCGCTACTACACTTTTAAAATTTAATTTCGTATAAAAAAATTACTTTTTTTAAGAAAAAAACACTCTTTACTAGTCAAAATAAATTATTAAATTATTTTAAAACTTATGCTTAAAATTATAATACAAATGTCTGAAGTTAATATAAAATAAAACGAATAAATGAAAGAGACATTTATTGTAATAGCCTGCACAATTTAAAAAATACTTACGATAATTTGAGAAGAGATAAAACTTAATCTGTCCCAAGTTATAATGTATAATTAAGAAAACATTAAAACTTTTTTCTTGTGAAAGTTTAAAGTCAGAGTTTTTAAAATAAAATTTAATGATATTTTAGCTTTTTAAATAATATTTCACAGAATATTAAAACAAATTCACCGAGCACCAGATTAATTACTCTGTAAATAAACAAATAAACTTTATTTACTGAAAAACTAAAATTGCAATGTCTGTTTTGCAATGAAACTTTGCATAAATAATTAAGTAATTTTTAATTATTTAAAGTACTTATACAAAAAATGTGATTTTTAGGATTACTTTTTAAGTTAAATTATTACTAATAAGAAATAAACAATATGAAATAATAGCAAATGCAGTAAATAAAATAAAAAATGTATTGTTAAATAAAAATATATTATTCATATTTTCAATTTCTCAAACTTTTTGCAGGGACTGGCATCTTTACTCATAAGTTGTAGTTTGCATAAAAAAAATAATTTGGTTTATAATCTCTTTTCCTCAGATTATCGCCTTTAAAATAAAGTACAATGAACACTTGATATTGTGTTATTTTTTCTGAATTTATACAATGATATATGAAACAATTTTATAAAAACATTAATTTTCTTTTAAACAAAAATCTACTATTAATTAAAAAAAAGATTAAAGAAAGTTGTACTAAATTGTTATATTTTTTTTTTTAATTTCTCATAAAGATTTTTCCTGATTCTGGAGATTAATATAAATGCAGCCAAATATATCTGTATACTTTTCTCTATATTTTTCTATTTTTCTGTTGCTATTACTCTCTTGCTGTTCACATTTGATCATCAATTTATAACGTTTGTACACACATTTTCATTGTGTGTATATATGTATTCAAATAATGTGCAATAAAAAGAATAATACAACAGAAAAAGAAAGTAAAAAATATTTTTAAAATATAATTAGGAATATAGAAAAAAATACAGAAGTACCCAGATAATCAAGCGTCATTCGTCATATCGAGCAAACTAACGCATTGCATGAGTTATTGCATATTTGCCATACATTTGTTGGCATCGAAAAACAATACATTACGAATACAGCAACATAACTGCTTATACGTGTAATCAGTTG